TCATTTTTATTTTATTGCAGCTTTTTCTTTTTATTGTTTACGAAGACCTAAGCCCATATACAAAATTAGGAACACATTCAGATGCCTCTTTTGAAAAAACGTTTTAGTCTTTTTTTTTTTGGAGAGATTTTCACTGTAGGGCGCGTGCGCTCGCCAGACAGACAGAGAGAGACATAGAGACAGAAAGCGAGAAATCACCCCCCGGGGGGATGGTCATGCCGCAATCCCTTCTCCTCCATTCTCCTCTCGGGATCTTGGGCACGCATGCACACGCGCCCGGTGTGAGTTTTAAGCCACCGGGTCCGGGACACGAACCGCAGTCGACTACGTGGGAGTCCAGCAACATAGCCATTACGCTAACTGCTGGTTCCCTAAATGTTTTAGTCTTTTTGAACTGAGATTTAAAAAATAATAAAACCAATGCAATTTTTAAACACTGTTCTGAAAACTTGAAAGTGAAGCAATATACTTAGTTTCCATTTTCTATGAAATAGTGCAATTCCAATTCAAAACTGGTAAGATCACAACATATTGAATCAAGCGAATGCATACATATATCTGCACTACTTGATGTTAATGTTCATTTAAATGTTAGTTTTCACTTAAAACACAAGCAGAATAGGAATCTTCACAGTAGAGGCCCAATTTTAATCTTAATGTGTGCAAAATTTAAAAGGTAACTGTCAATTAAGTATGGAGAGTTTAGAAGGAATGAAACTGGAAGGGTACAACTTACAATATAAGAAGATTGGGACTTCAAGGGTCTCACTGAAGCTTATGACCTTAACTAACTTTGACCTTGTTATTCTTACTTTTTTTTTTTTGAGAGGTTTTTCACTATAGGGTGCGTGCGCTCGCCAGACAGACAGAGAGAGACATAGAGACAGAAAACGAGAAATCACCCCCCAAGGGGGGTGGTCATGCCGCAATCCCTTCTCCTCCATTCTCCTGTTGGGATCTTGGGCATGCACGCACACGTGCCTGGCGTGAGTTTTAAGCCACCGGGTCTGGGACGTGAACCGCGGTCGACTATGTGGGAGTCCAGTGACATAGCCATTACGCTAACTGCTGGTTCCCGTTATTCTTACTTTTAGTGAACACCATGCAGTTTCAAAAATTTAGACTACATTGTCTGAACAGGATCCATTTAACATATGAAGATTTAAGTCAAAATTTGGATAAAGAAAACAAGGCACAATAAATTTCAACTCAATTTTAATGTGTACAAGAGTCAAAAAATCTGAGCCACCTCAAAGATAAATTAATTCTAAAGTTTATAAAACCCATAATTAATCAGAGGCCAAACCACTACATTAAAACAGTTTCTCTAGCAAGAAAAAAAATCTTGCAGGACCAGCAGTTAGCGTAATGACTATGTCGCTGGACTCTCATATAGTCGACCGTGGTTTGAGTCCTGGACCCAGCAGCTTAAATTCACTCCAGGTGCGTGTGCGTGCGTGCCCACGATCCCGAGAGGAGAATGGAGGAGAAGGGATTGTGGCGTGGCCATCCCCCCTGGGGGTGATTTCTCACTTTCTGTCTCTCTGTCTTTCTGGCAAGCACGTGCACCCTATAGCGAAAACCTGTCCAAAAAAAGAAAAAAAAATCTTGCAGTTTAAACATACACTTGTATTCACTTTAGATACAAGACAGAACTCACTCTTGAAAGTGGCTCCACCTTGGCAGATACATACGTCGGTAACGAGTGCACACCTGCGATGTGTTTATCAGTGAAGACGCCCCAGCGGGTTCACGGAGCTCTGATGGCACCTGCCTCATCTTCCTCACAGTAAATACACCCCCACTGGATAGCTAAGTTAGTTTAGATTTTCTACCCTTTACATCAATGCACTGGGAAATTATACCCAGTACACAAGAGCAACAGAACCATTTCTGTGACAGCACAAATTATTTCGTTTAAAAAATTGTCATGTTTATATTCTTTCATTATAATTGGGTCAGACAATTTACCAAAAGCAATGACTCCACAGAGGAAGACCAGATCTTGCAGTATTGCTGAAAGTACTGCAGTCGGGGTCATGTTACATAACTGCAGACTAGTCCTCGCCACAAACCCCCGCTGATCTTTTTTTTTTTTTTTTGGGAGGTTTTTACTGTTGGGACTCTGGGCTCGCCGACAGAGAGAGACATAGAGACAGAAAGCGAGAAATCACCCCCCAGGGGGGATGGTCAACGCCTCAATCCCTTCTCCTCCATTCTCCTCTCGGGATCTTGGGCACGCACGCACACGCGCCTGGCGTGAGTTTTAAGCCGCTGGGTCCGGGACACGAACCGCGGTCGACTACGTGGGAATCCAGCGACATAGCCATTACGCTAACTGCTGGTTCCCTGCCCCCGCTGATCTTTTAAAACGTGAAGATGCTTTTAAAGTTAGGACCTGAATGATCCTACCCAATGCTCAAAGAAGTCTTATGACACTTCGAAACAGTTGCTGGTCTGTCGCCAACCACGTCATCGAAAGCACTCGTTACTAAGTAGAAAATACGTTAAGACTAAATGACAGTAAACGGCAAAGCTCCACAGTTTAACCCAGGATAAATCAACCATATCCAGTTATCAAATTCAAACAAACGAAAACTAACTCCTGAAAGCCGAAAGCAAGACCCGAGGGCTGGGCAGATGGACGGGCTGGAGGGAGACTCTGAGGGTGCGGCGAAGGTAAGACCAGGTCGGGTTGCCGTGGCTCGAGCAGCCCTTGACGAGGAGGAGGTGAACAGGAGCGAGCTTGTGCAAGCTTTGTCCAGAGCACAGGCGCTGCTCCCGGGGACGCCCCAGCCCTCACACAAGCACAGGGGGGTTACAGCCTGTACTGCTCGGGGCGAGGGTCTGCGACTACCTATGGAAAGGAACATCTTTTTAAAAATCTATTTTATTTTGATTTCTTTTACGCACTCGGTCTTAAGGTGGGGGAGTTTAAAATCACTCATCCAAAACAGTAAACTCTTCATTACAGTAAGGCAGGAGGAGAAAGCAAGTACCTAATACAGAGAGAAGTTCAAAATGGAGCTTCTCCTGCTTCGCTGAAAGGGTGAGGCTGAGTGGACGGAGCCCGGCGGGGTCCCTGGTGCAGGTCTCCGCTCTCGGGCGCTGTGGGAGAGGGACACACGCAGAGACGTGGGCAGGAGGGACAGGGGACTGCTCAGCTGGACGGGGTCCTCCTGGGTGACGAGGACACCTGGGCGCTGGGTGAGGTGGTGGTCGCCACGTGGCACAGATCCTAAATGCCCCTAACTGTACACTGGCTGTGGCCCGCTCTGTACCGTAAGGGAGGACGTGGCGCCCCAGGCTCCTCGCACTCTCAGCAGCTGCCACAGGACAGGACAGGCGGGCTTCTTCCAGCGCCCGACTCTGCTGGCCTTCCACCTCGCTGTGCAGCACTAGGGGGCTGAGTGCGGACCCGGGCTCTGTCCCACAGCGTGGCGTGCTCTCGCCTCCCTTCCAGGCGGGAAGGCCCTTCCAGGGAGTCTGCGGAGCTGTCCCTGCTGAGGGCTCTCCCACCACGCACCGTGACCTGGGATCAGGAGGGAGCCCAGCTTGCTCCAGGGTCTGGGCACTGCTGACCCTGCCGACCCTGAGAGGTGGCTTGTCGTCATCGACCTGCCATGGGGACAACATTAACCACCAGTAAATGCCCCCATGCCCGCAGCTGACACCCGGGCATTGCCTCGAATCTGCTCCTCCCTGAATGAGGAGAACCCCCACGTCAGATGCAGAGATGGAGAGGATTTTATTTTGTTGTTTTGTTTTGTCTTGTTTTTTGAGAGTCCCACCCGCCGTGCATGCACTCACCAGAAAGACAGAGAGAGACAGAGACACAGAAAGTGAGAGCTCACCCCCCAGGGGTGATTGCGGCCACGCCACAGTCTGTTCCCCACTCTTCTCTCGGGATCTTGGGCACACACGCACATGCGCCCAGCGTGAGTTTAAGTCACTGGGTCTGGGACTCGAACCACAGTCAACTACATGGGAGTCCAGCGACATAGCCATTACACCATCTGCTGGTCCCAGATGCAGAGATGGACAGACAGGCAGAGGCACTGAGGGGGGAATGCCCCCCGGGGTCCACAGGAGGGAGGACAAAGGCGCGGCTGCTCACAGCATAAGGAAGTGGGAAGGAGGGTTAGAGAAACCAAACCACAGACCCGAGCCAGGAAGTTGCTGGGCTTCCTCTGGGGGTCAGTTAGCAGCCTTAGAACATCCCCCCCAGTTCTCGGCCGTCCATCCCCTGAGGGCCACCGAGGCAGACCGGGGAGCAGCTGCAGCCCTCCCTCTCTGCTCACGGGCAGTGAACTCGTGGCTCTGCCCCGGCCTCCTCACCACGGCCCTGGCCACGCAGCACCGTGCACCCGCTGCAGACTCGAGGCAGCCCCTCCTTCCCTGCGGCCCCTCGTCCGCCCTTGTCCCTGCCGAGGTTCCGATCTCTCAGCCCGGCCTTAGCTGTGGCTGACCTCCCCATCAGACCCAGCTGCAGGGCCGCAGCTCCCTCCAGTCACTGGGGGCTCCGCCTGCTGCTCAGGACGGCCAGGCCCAGCCCAGAGCCCAGCTCCTCCCCCACAGCAGGTGACCTGCCCCCAGACACCCCACCCCGAGTCACCAGAGTCACCACCACGTCTGCTCTTCTCAGTCAGCCTGAGACCCTGCCTCGGCCAGCACCCTTCCGACCTCCCAGCTGCGATCCGGCCGGTCCCTGCTGTACCGTGTGCCCACGCACAGGGTGTGGGAGAGGCTGGCAGGGGACGGCCATGTGGGCCACCAGGAACACTCAGAGGGCGGGTTTGCCGTGAGCTCCTAGGAGAGAGGGGGCAGCTGGTAGTGGGCACCCACCCTGGCACCCCCTTCCTGAGGGCAGAGCTGGGGCGGGGCCTGCCTGTCCTCTCACTGTCACCACCAGCTCCAGGGGGTCACTGGGCTCCGACCAGCCTGCGGGGGTGTGATAGGAGCAGCGATACCGCCCCGCGTGGGTGCCCTTCATGTGTACGATGCAGAACCTGGCCCGGTCCCGGGCTCTGGCCAGCATGTCCCCGAGGCGTCAGATGTGGGGGTGCGCCGTGGCCTGACTCCAGAGCCCACGGTGGTCTGACTGTCCCCCGGTGCACGTGCCTCACCTTGATCACCAGGGACAGGCTCAGGAGCGGGGCCTGGGGGTGGGAAGTCATGGGGGAGCCCCAGGGGTGGGGTGAGGGGCCTCACTAAAGGCCTGCAGGGAGCAGACACCCCCTTGTGCCCTCCGCCCTCTGCCCCCTGAGCAGCAGGCTCCTACCTCCCGAGGGTGCAGCAGGAGGGGTACGGGGCAGAGAGCCTCACCAGACACCGCCCTCCCTGCGGCTTGGCAGGGACTGCCCAGAGCACCAGCCTAGATTCCTGGTGTTCACAAACCCCGTCTGGGGACTGTTACAGCAGGGCGCACCGAGCCGCCCACCGCAGCCCCCTCCCTGCACCCTGGGGTCCCGAGAGCAGCGAGCCCCTCACACAGCTCTGGCGGGTCCCCGGATGAGGGAGGTAGGGAGAGAATCGGCACGTTCAGAAGTCCTGGGGGGGGTACGTGTCCGGGTCACACGGCCTCTGGGACGATGGGCCCTGGCTCCCCGTGGCCTGCACAGGCAGGGGGGGGTCATGTCCCTGGTCCTGGGTCATCTGTGCACCCTGAGCAGCCGGGGCTGGCTGAAGCTGGCCATGCTGAGGACTCACAGGCTGGGCTGATGGACGGGCTGAAGGGGTGCAGGGGACCCCTGGGAAACTCCGAGAGAAGGGGAGCAGCCCGGGCTCACCCTGCCTCAGAGCCCGACCCAGGAAGGCGCCAGGTCTGTCTGAGCTACGTCCCGGCCCTCGGTGAGAGGACAGATCATGCAGGTCGTGGCCGGGGTTGGGGAACCCCCATGTCTGTCAGAGATGTCTGCAGAGGAACCAGCAGTTAGCATAATGGCTATGTTGCTGGACTCCCATGTAGTTGGCTACAGTTCAAGTCCCGGACCCGGTGGCTTAAAACTCACACCGGGCGCGTGTACGTGCGTGCCCAAGATCCCGAGAGGAGAATGGAGGAGAAGGGATTGAGGTTTGGTCATCCCCCCCGGGGGGGGGTGACTTCTCGCTTTCTGTCTCTATGTCTCTGTCTGTCTGGCGAGCGCACGCGCTCTATAGCAAAAACCTCTCAAAAAAAATAAATAAATAAAATAAGGAAAAAAGAAATGTCTGCAGAGAGCCTGCCCCAGTCCTGGGGAAACCAGAGCCAGGCCCAGGGGAGGGTCAGTTCCCCTTCCTGCTGGGTTAAGTATGTGACATCCCTGTGCCAGCCTCTGTATGCCCACACCCTGCGCGTCTGTCTGTCCTGCCTGCACCCTGGTCTCCTCCGTCTGCACAGCCGGGACCAGTGGGGGAGACGCCATGACCCCCCCCCCCACGGCCCCGCT